TGTGAGACAAGTTACATTTACAAGCACGACCAAAGGGGAATAAAATAGCATATTATCAAACCTATTAACATCTTGCGTGAAATTTGTAGCTGAAGATGACATCATAACCATCTGGCCCCTTTTACACAGGCATCAGATATAACGCAATTCTCGTCAGAAGAAACATGTCTCTGATAAAACGTAAATAAGCAGTGAAGTCTTTGGTGTGAGACATTGTCCTTAAAGTACTCTGTAGGTTCATGCAAGCATCAAGACAATGCAGTTCATCTTCTCCATATATATTAGAGGATCTCGGTACCTAATCATATTATAATGTATGAAAATCTCTGCATATTTTTGACTTGAAGCTACAATGTGACACACAATAAAATATAACATTACAATGTTCTCAAGTAAGATCGTAGTGAAAGAACTTTGGAAACATTTTCTCATTCTGATCCCAACTTAACGCACTCAATTCAACTCTAAACCTTTACCTGTTTACCATCCGCTCACAGAAAACAAAGCAATCTTCAAAAAAATGGCTGTGAACCAGGCTTAAACCTGGGCGCCTGTAGGCAGTTACGGACCCCAGAGCTGGAGCTCCATGCTGTCCTGTGGTTTTACACCACCTCCACGTAGTTAGCAGGGTAAAGGCCCTCTTTCCCTCCATCCATCATGCCTCTGCACCAACCCTGATCATCCTCATCCTCGATCTTCAGAAACTCCTCACCTGAACACACACAAACATAAAGCGTCAGAGGCGTTACATGTGCATCATACAGACACATAATATATGAATACACAAACATAAACAAGGGCAGCTTACCTGCTTTGAAGGACAGCTCATCCGTCTCCTGTCCAACGTAGTCATAGAGAGCTCTGACTCTCACTCCTCCAATCATTACACTGAGACGAGGAGGGAAAACAGACAGTCACTAAAATAAGCCCCTTCTTAAAGGGGTCCTATTATGCTTTTTCACTTTTTCAACTTTAGTTAGTCTGTAATGTTGCTGTTTGAGCATAAAAAAAGATCTGCAAAGTTACAAAGCTCAAAGTCCACTTCAAAAGGAGATATTTTATTTTATTTTACTTTTCAAAAACTGCAACGAACGACTCGTTTGGACTACATTCGTTTTCCGGGATTTGTGATATCACAAAGATCGACGAATGGGACGAGACCTGGTTGAGCTGCACTAGAGAAGGCAACGAGTGTTATCACTATGCCAGAGTTAGCGCTAGCTTTCCCAAGGCAGATGAACTTACTAACCAATCACAACACACACTGGCCCAGCAAACCAATCACAACACATTTCGTATTTCAGAAGGTGTATTTCTGAATCACTTTATTTGATTCAGGAACTATTCGAGCCGTTCATGAGAGAGAGAGGGAGAGAGTTTTTGTAATAATGTAAAATATGTGAAAAATAATGTTTTTCGAACAACCTAGCATGAGAGCCTGTTTTAGTACACCCCCAAAACAAAATCAAGATTTTGTAAAAGAGCATAATAGGATTAAAAATGTTACTGACCACTCCCTTCCTTAGCAACTGTCACGATCCACTAAATCAGTAGACGAGCCTTTGCTCTTTTCTAATGCAAATCTTCTAAGTGTGGATAGTTTTAATCAAAACTTGTTGTTGCCTTTTGTTGGATAATTATGGAAGCCCATTTTTTGCCACATAAGAAAAAAATCATGCTTTGGTTAATCATTAGGAGATAAAAAGTCGAAATTATGAGATACAAAAAATTAAAATTATGAGATTAAAAGTCATAATTATTACACGTCAAAATGATAACAACAACATAATGTAAAGTCCTAATTATAAACAAATCTAATAATAATTTATACTATGCTAAATTTTAATTTTACTCATAATTATGATTTGTGACCCTGGAGCACAAAACCAGTCTTAAGTCGCTGGGGTATATTTGCAGCAATTGCCAAAAATACATTGTATGGGTCAAAATTATAGATTTTTCTTTTATGCCAAAAATCATTAGGATATTAAGTAAAGATCATGTTCCATGAGGATATTTTGCAAATTTCCTACTATTAATATATAAAAACTTATTTTTTGATTAGTAATATGCATTGCTAAGAACTTAATTTGGACAACTTTAAAAGAGATTTTCTCAATATTTAGATTTTTTTGCACCCTCAGATTCCAGATTTTCAAATAGTTGTATCTCGGCCAAATATTGTCCTATCCTAACAATTTCCTAACAAAGCTTATTTATTCAGCTTCCAGATGGTGTATAAATCTCAATTTCGAAAAATTGGCACGTATGACTGGTTTTATGGTCCTGGGTCACATTTAGTATCTCATAATTTCATCTTGTTTGCCATAATTATATTTTGATGTCATAATTCTGATTAATCAAAGCATGTTTTTTTTCTCTTATGTGGCAAAAATAGGCTTCTATTGTAATACATCATAGAAACATGTCTATTTGTTTATTTCTTAAATATAAAATTTTTAGGAACCATATAACTTACAAAACTTATACTGTGAAACACTAAACCAAAAGAAGAATAGTAAAGGAAGTTTTTGAGGATTTTAGTCCATTTTTTCCACCCCTGCCTAAAAAGGATACTAAATACTATAACATTTCGGACTATTACTGTCTTTGTTTATACAGGATTTATCCATAAATACTCAAATTTGTTTTTAGCCAGTGCTAAGTTGACTGTGATCAGCATTTGCCTCAATTCTGATTCACAATCTCCACAGTCTTACTCAAAAATACTGCATAAATGATTGACTTTTGTAAAGAAAAACAGCCAAAATGTTTTGCAATGCCACAATTCATTCCAGTACTGGATAAAATATCCAATCAATGTTTGCTTCTGTATTTTACTGAAAATCACTGTTCAATCCCCAACTCATCCCTTGTCAAGCTTGTCTGAGCAATATTAACCAAGGAGACTGAGCTTTGCAACAGGCCAATACACAGCAGCACGCAATAACAAGGCCTGAAGTTCAAAAAGGCCCAGATTGGTTTGTAGTGAATAACAGTCAGGCAGCCTAGCACTGTGAAGCCCTACAGCAAATATCACTGTAGTAAACTGACCTTCTCTCCATCACTACTGCTTTCTGCTCCACCTCCTTCTTTCCCTTTTTATGCTTCTTGTCTGGAGTCCACTCCTGAAATAGAAAGAGAGTGAGAGACAGAGTGAGTGAAGGAGTAAATGTGGGTTTTGGCACAACAGAACGCAGTCTATTTGAAGATGTGCCGCTGTGAGATACATGAATATCACGTATAAAAACAAAGACGTCACTTTAACACCCTCAAGAAAGCATTAACCTCAAAACTATACTTTAAAACAAACCTTAGGCCTACAGTGTTACAGTTTGTTTTTGCTACGGAGCGATATCAATGTGGCTAGCTGCACATTTCTCATCACAGATAATCAATCTTATTTTTACTATGAGACCGGATGCGATCATTTGTAACTTGAATGTGCGAGGCTTCCTATGCACAGTCGCTTCTAGCTGTACAAAAACAGTCACTTATGCTGCTTGATCATACAGTAATTTCAATTATCAAATAAATGTATGCTTTTAGTTATTTACCTACAGCGAATAATAAATCAGAAGCCACAGAAAAGACTTTACTTCTGTATTTCATAATAAAGTGGAAGGGTACAGGTAACAGACGTTGGGCTCTTTTAACAAACCAGCCAAAACACCCTAACAACTGCATAGCAATACAATGGCAAACACCCACAACACCCTAACATTTTCTTTAGAGAATGTGAAAAGTACGTTTTAGGTAATGTTTGTCAATGTAAATGTATTTGCAATATAAACCTCATGTATTTACCTGAAATTGAGGCCAGTCGGTGGGCATTCCTGGCCCGTGTGTATTCTTCCACCAGCGCAAATCTTCCTGCTCGCTGATGGACATCAGAGTGTTATGGAGCTCATTGTACACGGCTTTTACGCTAACAGAGCGAGAGAGAGAGAACTTGTATGATTTACTCATTGTGACTGAGACAAACTGAGATTTGACCAGTACAGTATAACCGTTCTCACACACCTCTCATTGTTGGTGACATCCAAGTGTCTGTGGATGGACAGGAAAGCCTGTTTGAGGAAGCTTATCCTCTTTCTCTCCTCCTCCTGCGATTGGTCAAAGATCGACTCCATTTCCTCCATGTAGCGTGGAGCATAATGCGTCACTTCCTCAAGAATCTTCTCATAGCGGGCTCGCACCTATAAACAGGAATTTGCAGCCAGTCAGATGTGTTGTGTGTATGTGCCACTTCAGATTGAACTGGATTTCAAATGCAACGTCAAAAACTTTTTAAATTGTCCAAGCAGTTATTTTTCAAACAATAAAAACAATTTTATAAATAAAAAACATATATATTTATATAATAAATTAGTACAAATGCTGTTGTTTTGAATGTATTATTCATTACAAAATCCTGAAAAAAAATTAAGCAACACTGTTTTAAATATTGAAAATAAGAAGACATTTTTCTTGAGCACCAAATCAGCATTGAATAAATTACATTTGAAAATATATTAAAATCGGGAAACATTTATTTTAAGTTGTAATAATATTTCACAATATAAATGTTTCTGCTGTATTTTTACTCAAATAAACAAAAAAATATGTTGATACTTATAACAGGTCAGATTTCAAACCGGGTCTTGAATGACAATCAGAAATGTCCCACGACAAATAAGACTAGATTTACACCTACAGTATTAGGGATTACTAAATAGTTAAAACACAAGTACAGTCATCTGGGTTTTTTTTCCTTGCACCTGAGTTGATTCTCCACATCCTCTCTTTTTTCTTTTCTGTTGCTTACTGTACATTCAATTCTTGATCATTAATCTGTGCAGTATATTGCATGATTTCAATGCATTGTTATGAAGCTTGTAAATGTAAACAAAGTTTTTTTCTGCTTCCTTTTCCTGACTCGGATGATAAAAGACTATTTGAAACTGTTATTTTCTTTTTCTCTTTCTGTTTCTTTCTGACAGTCCCCCACCCCACAGCACTCACTTTCTCGGTTTCCTGGTGAGCCAGTTCAGTCTCTTCCTGGATCTTCCTCTGTTTCTCGATGGCAATGTCAGGGTTGCCTTGGGCATGGGCCTCCCGCTCACGAGCCACGTGTTCCTTACGGCAAGCTTTGTGAAACGCTGACTTAGCCTTCTCTAGCTGCCACAAAAAACACACAAATTCAGGTCAGATTCATGTAGACCAGGGGTTAGTATTGCACACACTCATTCATTTTCAAAAATTCATTATTCAACTATTGTCATTTGTAAGCATTTATATAGAGACATTGTATTGATTTTGTCCCTACAATACTGTGTACAAATAAAATGAGTTTAATTTTAACCCCAGAACTGCAATGCTTGCATTACCTTCTTCAGTCTCTTGGCCCAGGGCTTCTGAGCACGTGAGAAACCAGTTTCAAAATCCTGGGACTCCTTGAAACCTCCAAATATCTTCTTACGAAAAGTCTCCTTCTGCCATGTCCGCATGCGATCTCCATCCTCTGACACCAGAGCACGACAGATGGAGGAGTGCAGCGAGGAGAGGCGGTCAGCAGAAGAGAGGAAGCACTGCCAGGCTCGTAACAGAGAGCCGTAGAGAGGACCTGGACAAAGATGAAGACAAACATATTCATGAAAGAAATGAGAGGGCTATTTAAGGTCACAAAAAGAAACTTGTTCATCAGACACTAAACTAAAAATGTGGACATCTCATATAAAACACAGGTCACAGTTCCTTAACTATATGACATATGATTTAGTTTCTTAAATTATGTTTCAAATAGCATACTACTCATACTAATCTTTTTACAGTGTGTAGTATGTATACACTCAACAGTATGCATTAAAGACCCACATTTGCTAAAATGTGGCAAATATTGTAACTCACAATGCATTGCAAATTTGATTATTCATTTCCAGTGGTGTATAAAATATCACTTCATATTATCATCCTTCATATTATTTACTTATTATTTGACCATTCTGTCAAAACTGAACTCATTCTTAGACAAAATTTGGTCAAATAAAATTCTAAATATGTGACCCTGGACCACAAAACCAATTTAAAAAATAAGCTTTCCATTGATGTATGGTTTGTTAGGATAGGACAATATTTGGCCGAGATACAACTATGTGAAAATCTGGAATCTGAGAGTGCAAAAAAAATCAAAATATTGAGAAAATCGTCTTTAAAGTTGTCCAAATGAAGTTCTTAGCAATGCATATTATTAATCAAAAATTAAGTTTTAATATATTTACAGTAGGAAATTTACAAAATATCTTCATGGAACATGATCTTTACTTAATATCCTAATGATTATTGGCATAAAAGAAAAATCTATAATTTTGACGCATACAATGTATTTTTGGCTATTGCTACAAATATACCCCAGCGACTTAAGACTGGTTTTGTGCTCCAGGATCACATATGTATATTTTTATTCCTCAGACGAACAACATAGTAAAGTCACATGACAACATTATAGCATATGCTTAGGATAGTTAATTAATTAAATGTAAACACAACCTCAATAAAACATGTATTGTTATTTACTGCATACTATTTTTAAATATAGGATGCAGTATACAGTATGCAATATGCTTAAAAATTTGACTGAAAATGCAAAACAATCATATTAACTCTGAACTTGATTAATTAAAATAGAGAGGTCATGTCACAATCATTTAGCAAACTATTAGCATTGTTGTAATGTTGTAAAGTAAACATAAAATATTTATCATTTACTATTATGCATACTGTTTTTTAAATAACATGCAATATACAGTATACAGTAAGAAATATACTAGTATTATGTTCTAAACATTTAACATCTGATTGATTGTTCCTCAACTGATTGAATTAAATAACAATAAGTCCATATTAAAATCATCTAGCATTTACTTAGAACTGATGTAATGTTATAAAAAGACAACATAAATAAGCGTGGCAAATCATTTACAATTATTTACTCTTTTGAATGCTAAATTTTATATAACATGCAATATACAGTACATACTGCACAGTATGCAGGAAGCAATAATTTTTTTGTTCAGAGCATCTTGATCAAAACTTCAGTACTCACTAGCATCCACTAGAGGTTTCCACTTGGTACTCCACTCACTAAGTTGCTGCGCGTACTGTCTCTCGACCCTGGCCCTCTCCTGGAAACACGCCATTATATCATTACACGCCTGGAAGGCATCTTCGGTCCTCTTCACTGTCCGGTGGTAGTTCCCTGTCTGAGACACAGACAGACAAAACATGGGTATAACTGTAAGGCTAATTGTAAAATATTGAGGGAAAAGAAAATGAAAGACTTGGCGCTAAAGGTTTATAGGCTGTTTAAGAGGTCAAGAGTGAGGTATTTACTGTCAGACACAGGGAAGATGTCCCTCTCTCCTCTAAGGGACTGGCCTCATTTCTTTTCCAGAAGGGTCACTGGGTTTGTTTGCTATGGATTGGACAAGTTATCAGTATAGCGTAAGGTTTGTTTCTAACATAAACGCCTGAAGACAACATGTGGTGTGGAAAACCAGAGCACAATTCAAACATTATTATTATTATAACAAAAAAAACATTTGTGACTAGACGAGTACCAGCGAGTCGAGAGAATTCAGGCCACGGTAAGTGGGGCATCACATGGACAGCACAGTGAAAGGGGCTGATTAACTGCAATAACACGATAAATGAGAGAGAATGAGGGAGGTGGGCAAACATAACGACATTTCCAGACTGGGTGTCGTGTTTGCTGATGTGGAGTGTGTTCTTCCATTTTATTAGCGGCTCCCCCACAATTTTATTAATTCATCTCTCTCCTCTACATCTTCCTTATGTGCTATTCTTTGTCGGTTCTTTCTCTTTCTCTCTCTCTTAGCTGTGGTTTGCACCACGTATTTTCCCCAGTCTGAGAAAAAAGTAAAAACAGCTGAGGAATCTCAACTCCGGCCAAGAGCGATGCAGAGCAGCACCTGCCAACCAATCAGAGTATTACAGAAATCAAACAAATAACACGATCCCTGTCAAACGGAATATAACATTCTCATGGACTCAAAGCTGCACAATATTTAAACAGAACTGTGTTACTGAACAGACAAGTCTATTTAAAAATCAACCCCGTTCAACTCTGGGCGAAGCTTTCTGCATTTCATCACAGCAAATCTACAGTCAGTGCTGTGGTTGACCAATCACAGCATCTAGGATGAACACAAAAACCCTACAGCGCTCAGTTCTGGTCAGCGGCCAGCCAATTACAAGGTAGGACATGCAACCCTTGCAGGCGATAGCAGTGTGGTTGTTGTAAACTGACGGAACATCATTGGTCGGAGCATTTCACCCCAAACCGTAGCACTGGCCAAGCTCCAGATGGGATGGCAACTCAGCAAAAAGAGCTGAGGCTAAATAGAGAGCTCAGGAGAATCTTAAACAGCTTCATACGGCTCTCAAAGAGCTCTAGATGTCATTGATAATAACAACAAATCACCACAGGAAACTCCATAAATATTCATCAGATAAAACTCACCAACAATGTATATGTGGGATACTATTACATGCATATTCAGTTACTGTAGATGCAAAATTATTTTTTGCAATGAAAATACATTTTAATGATCATTAGGCTCCAAAAAAAGAATATAAAACCCAAAATTACCTACTTTACTGGGACCAGCCAACTGCCCCCAGGAGAGAGAATTTATACATATCATCATCTGAAAGCTGAATAAATATTTCCATTGATGTATGGTTTGTTAGGATAGGACAATATTTGGTGGAGATACAACTATTTGAAAATCTGGAATCTGAGTGTGCAAAAAAAAATTAATAAAATCAAAATATTGAGAAAATTGCCTTTAAAGTTGTCCAAATGAATTTCTTAGCAATGCTCATTACTAACCAACAATTAAGTTTTGATATAATTACAGTAGGAAATGTACAAAATATCTTCATGGAACATGATCTTTACTTAATATCCTAATGATTTTTGGCATAAAAGAAAAATCGATAATTTTGACCCATTCAATGTATTTTTGGTTATTGCTACAAATATAACCCAGCGACTTAAGACTGGCTTTGTGCTCCAGGGTCACATTTAATAAACAGATTAAATAATATTGTAATGAAAATCTGGTTTCTTTTGGGTTTCCAAGAGGCTTAGGTGATAGAAAATAGCATTACTCAGAATAAAGACAACAGTGGTGAAGAGAAAGTCTTCTTCAGTATGATGCAGTAACAAGTGTATGTGTAACTAACATCAATTTCTCTCTCGTCTCTGTAATAAGTATACTGTAAATCACTTTGGATAAAAGCAACTGCTAAATAGCAGCTTGCTATTTACTTTCTTACTAAATATATTGTAAGTTTGAACATGAGCATGACAGTTAATAGTGCCTATATGTAATTAAATATACAGCATCATTGCATAATTACCATTATTAGTATCATAAAAACCTGTTAGAACTATGTTAACTACTGCACTAATAAAACTAAACAGAAAACTAAATGTTAACATTTCGACACATGAGCAAATACACCTCATTTTTTATCCATAGGGTGATTTGGTTAACACAGAAAGACATCTGAACATGCCAAATGTGCAAATACTACAGAATTGCTAGTCTAAAAAAATACAACATTTATAAATGTATTAAAAGGCAAGGTTCTGCATGATTCCCAGCAGCACTGAAGAGCAGAACAGCAAACCAATTAGGGAGCTGAGAGACAAAAGCTGAGCTAATTAAAATGGGTGGAGGCACAATGGATGAAATTTATAGACTGAGATTAAAGGTTAAAGAACCATAAAACATGCTGCAGCAGTCTCAAAGAAGTCAAATAGACTTCACTCGAATATTAATCTTCATTTGGTTAATGTAGGGTGCTCAGAAGCTTTTGTGAAGAGTTCCACTTAATGTCCAAACAAATCCTGTCATCTGTTGTTGCTCCAACTGTTTAGCTGTTAAAACCAAGTCAAGCTACATCATTCACATGCATTTCTTTCTGCTAACACATACATAAAGCAGAAGCGGATGGTATTTTCTAGAGGTGTGCTGTCCTTCCTCCCCCTCTCACTTACCATCCAGAAGCTCTGATTGTTGGCATCCTCAGGGCCTGTCTCTGCCGAGAGCGTTGACATGATGGAGTCTGGAATAGAGATATGACAAGCAACATTTAAAGGTGCACTCATTTTCCTTATAAAAAAAACCAGTTTTACAGAAAAAGTAGTTAATAGTACCTTTGAAAAATGTTTAAAATCCTCTATATTAACATGAGATGACCACTGCAGTGTTTTAATCTACATAGGGCGGGTTGCCTCGTGGAAGCTGCCATGTTGAAATCACATGACAAGCAAAATACTAACCACTTTACCTCAGTAACCCTCTTTTACTGCATACTTTCATTTGTGGAATAAATGTATTCTTGCTGACTAATATATATTTCATTTCTACAGCGGTATCGATAACCAAAAACATTTGTTTTTGCATGATGCTGCATCCACACCACTAGGTGTCAATATAAGTCAAAAATGCCTGGTGTATCAAACAGTGCAATAAACAAAACAAAGTTACTGATATGTCTTTAGAACAAAATTACTAGTAGTTATTTTTCTTCGTTTAGCTGTGAGAATTAGAGGTCAGTAGTTGGGCTAGTACTCTCCAGTCGACATGCCAGAGGGACAAATGGCTGGAATTTATTTCTAGCTTGTCTTAACAGGCAGACAACAGTCAGATATGTGTGACAGAGCTGAATCGCGTACTGTGTCTAATAGCATGCTTGGAGGGCGTTGTGTTTTACAAGCTTTCTTTTATTTAAACTACATTTTACAAACTGCGTCGGAAAGTGCGTGGCTTCAACAAACAAATGTAATGGTCTTGAAGTCTAGTTCTTGAAGAAAGGAGGATAGTTATATACAAGGTTGTTTACAGAGCATCAAAGAGCTTTCTGGATAAAAAAAATGTGTTACTGACTAATTCATGTGTGAAAAATTAAATGACTTAAAGCAGATTCAGTGAGTGTTGAAGTGGGATATATACAGACAGATAGTGCTTAATACTCTCCACTGCTATCTGCCGTGATCCAGAGCGCTGGGCTTTGACATTTGAGCCATCCCAAAATAAACATGGGGTGAAAGTTCACCAACACCAACACATACAGTACTCAAACACACACAAATACACTAGTTCTCTTCTGAAACCACACATGTTGATGAGCTCTTTGACACATATGCTTGCAAACACAGGCACATGTGGCTGGCTGACATGCCCACACAGGCACATGTCTGAGCTGCCCTGAACACACACATGCCAGAAACACACACTACAGACAGCACAACATGCCTGTGGCCATTTGTTTCTGTAAATGCAATAAACCACATTTTGTCACAAGACATGGAGAGAGAGAAAGATGACAGAAGGGAAGTGCATGAACAAGCTGTTATTTGTCTGTCTTTTCTACTCTCTCTCTCCCTCTCAGAGGGTTCATGGGCCTCAGTGCATTATCCCACATTTTCTCTTCCTATCGCATTTCCCTCTGCAGGGGTCATGGATATAGTAAATCACTCTATATTTGAACTTTAACCTCACTTCCTGTTCCCCCTCTGTTCCTCTCCCTCCAGACAGTCGTGTGCTCTCAGAGAATATAAGCAGGGACGAGCTTAAAGGGACAGTTCACACAAAAATGAAAAATCTCTTTAATTTCTTACACTCTTGTTCTCTTAATTCTATTAGATTTTTTGTTTAAGGCAAAATATGTGGTTTGTTGAACGGGCAATGAAGCTTTCAAGCTTCCAGAATGATGTAAAAGCACCATAAAAGTGGTTCATTTGGTTCTTGCAGTATATTTAAAGTCTTCTGTAGCTTTGTGTGAGGAACAGACTGACATGTATGTTATTTCAAGTTGTTGTTTTTTTTAATAAATTGTTAATTTAGTTAGGGGGGAAAACACCTGAATGAATCGTTCATAAACCAGACTGATCTAGTTCTAAAAGTTGCTATGTAAAGGAAGCAATGACAGATCTTTTCTTTCATTTTGTGACATACATCAGAGTGAAACAGATTGAAAAAACATATAGCACGGGGAATTGTTTTATCCATCGGTTGATGATTAGATGGAGGCAGATGTAAATGCAGGTTTTTGGTCAACTGTAAGGAAGAGGCGGGGTTTATGCAGACTCAATGACTGGAGACATTTTGTCATTCCACCAAAAGATTTAGATATGACATTTTGATTAAAAATTATAAAAAAAAAATATAAATAAATAATACATAAAAGTCCATCCATGGATTAATCGTTCAATATGATGCGTTTAGAAAATAGACAGGGTGAATACTAAAGGAGAAGATTTTCACTGAATAAATATTTAAATTTCTATCTCTTTTTCACTCAAAACATATGAATTCAGAAGACGTATAGAAAAGATATTGCACAAGCCAATTTTTTATACTTTTATGATGCACTTTTACACAAGTTTAGAAGATTAAATGATTTCGTCTGCATTCACAACTGCATGAAAAAAAAAATCAACATTCATCAAAATGTTCCCTGTTTTGTTCCAAAGAAGGTTTGAAGCAACATGAGGGTGATTATGTGATAACAGTATTTTCATTTTTTCCACTGTTGCCTGTTTGCATTCGGTCTTTTGTCTGAAGTTAACCTAAAAGTCTCCAGGAGGGTTTAATCTTCATAACCTATCTCTGTTTAGTCTTCATAACCCAGAATAAAATCGCAATTTTATGTACAATTAAATAGAAGCATGAACACATCTGCTTGACTGAATTAAATGATCACTACTTGGAGACTGAACAGTAGAGGTACTCTAAAACATCTAAGAAAAACACCATCTAGAATTGCACGTTATAAAGAACTGCATTTTGGAAAGGACAACATAGTCCATTCAAGATGGAGATCAAAAACTATTTGAAAGTTTTAAAAGATCCTGTAACTGGAGAGGAGGGAATGATGACCCATTTCTCTGAAAATATCATCATGACGTTGCTGTGAATCTCCCTCTTCTCTCCTCTTATTTTCTCTTTTCTCCCCCTTTTCAAAGCCCCTCAAACCCCCATCCAATACCCCTCACCCACCCTGGCTCTCCTTTTCTCTCCTCCCCCTGTCCCCGTTTTGAGTGTCACACATAACTCAACACACACCCACACACTGAAGAAATATATAGTAACTTATGAATGCATCAGACAGAAATAGTATATGAGAAGAACTGCAGAACTCATTAATGCACTGTGATCTAACCTGACACAAACATATGAAAAAATAAAGAAGGATAGAGAAAAAGGACACAACAGACTCACCTCTAACTTTTTCAGGGAAAGTTTCCTTTTAGTTCGCACTTTTTCTTTTCTGAAGTAACAGACCACCCCTTTTCTGCTAGCTTTTCCACTTCTAAGATCACCATATGGTTATGGTGTGTTCTGGACACACTCTTTCTTCTCCTCTCTTTCTTTGACCCTGCTGTCAGTGTTTAATGAGGTGGCTTCCTGTCACTTTCTTTCTCTCCTCTCCTCCCTCTCTCCAGATCCCCCTCTTTCCGAAGCAGTTGCGGGCGACCAGACTTTTCGCTCTATGGATCATACTACATGACAACACTCCTCCCTCTCCCTCTCTCTCTTTCTCCCTCTCCCTCTCATTTATACACAGAGTTGCTCCTCACAGTAAAGTGGTAATGAAGTGGGTTCAGTCCATACAATTAGTTTGGATGTTTCATTCAAGAATAACCCTACAAAGAGAGACAAATACCTGTTGCACACTTTTTTACTTACCCCCTAATTAAAGATTTCATAGTAACAAAAGTAAGGTTAAAATAAGGTCTAATTTTGTTAACATTAGATAATGCATTACTGTAAAATGAACTAACAATTAGCAATACTTTTTTACAGCATTTATTAAGCTGTTACTTAAAAATGTTCATGTTAATTCAGTAACTAATGTTAACAGATAGAACTTTCTACTTTTTAAATGCTGAGATTAACATTACCTAAGATTAATAAATGCTGCAGAACTATTGTTCTTTCATTATTTATGTTAGCAAATGTTAACAGGTGAAACCTTATTGTAAAGTGTTGCATATTTCATATTCTTTGAATTATTGTCTTTCGCATAACCACGACATTTATTAATATAACAACTTCAAAACCTCACCTCAAAAATGCTTAATCTCACAATTCCCATGGTCTCAGGAGGTCCACACAACAGCTGCCTGCACTGGCACTTCCAGTGGTTCCTATAGGGAGGAAAAGGGAGGGGAGGTGAGAGAAGACCCTCAGATTGTGTTGAACAAAGCTCTGTGACTCAGTATTACAAATATGGCAGCTGTTGTACACACTGAGAAGAGCCCATCCCAAATATCTCTGCATGCATGGTTCAGTTATATTTTTATAATCTCAGGAATAGTAATAGCATTTTGAGAATTAATAATGAACCATCTCTGTTCTCTCTCTCTGTGCTATTTTTAAAGACAATGTGGTCATAATCGGGGTCAAATATCTTTACCCTCACCACTTTCCACAGAATCACATAATAACCTCTTTCCAATATTTTACATGTTTACTGTATTACATTTAGCTGCTAGAAAACAATACAACACATATAAATATCAAAAAAATAAATTATATGAAAAACATACAGTATTCTTACATTTCAAATAAATAGACAAAAATACATATAAGTTCAAATAAAGTTTAGAAATATCGTAAAAGCCTGTATATTGATCCAGTGATTTGAATCCAGCTCTTGATGAACCAAGCAAAACTGTTTCAATCTCAAACTACTAATATAAAGTAGCCTACTAGGCCTACTGCAAATTTACCATTTCACTTGGAAATGTACAATTCAGAAAAAAAAGGAGTGAATTAAATTAATAACAAATCCAAAATATCTAGCAAGAAAAAAAATATTCTCCTTTTAGTTTTTTGGCGAGTTACGAAAAAAGATCACTTTCTTCTTCTTCTTCTAATAACGTTTTATGGCGGATGGCAAACCAACTTCTGGTGCATTTACCGCCACCAACTGGACTGGAGTGTGGAGCACTAATAAGCAACTAATATATACATATTTATATTTAAAAGATCACTTTTAAATATCATGTTTATTATAACTGCACCACAGCTCCGTCTGCTTGAATTTTGTAAAGGCGCTCTTAACGGACGCCTAAAGGTAGGTCCTACTCAGTCAGGATATAAATCGCCACACTGCGGGCGAAAGAGCCCTCAGTCTGTCGTGGAAGAAACTGATACACTGTGTGTGGGTAACTGTATGGCTTTTGGTTTCATTGTTAAGCATGTAACGTATTTATAGTTTTACCAGGGATTCATGTCGTAATAATCATCATCGTAAGACTACTATAGGTTAATGCATCTTTTAATGAAGCTGTTTAGTCAACCACGTGGCGCGCAGGTGATGAACCTCATGTGAACATGTGGTGTGCTTTGGTCATTTTTATGAATGAGATTATTGCCTTTCAAATAGTCTTTAGCGTGCGTTCGCGGGGTGTAACTTAGTTCAAAACCTTTGTTCATGTTAGCCTAGGGCTGGACGATATGGCCAACGTTTATATCACAATATATTTCTTAATTTCGGTCGATACGATACAATTCCGATATCGATATGAACACTATATGAAATGGAAATATTTTGGAACATTATAAATGCCTTTTATCACTTCTGATCAGTTTTAAGCATCCTTGCTAAATAAAAGTATTAATTTCTTTCCCAAAAAAATAAATTATACTGACTCCAAGCTTTTGAATGGAATAGTGTATGTTACAAAAGCTTTGTTTCAGATAAATGCTGATCTTTATATTCAAAGAATCCTGAAAATTAAATTTATAATCGGCACATTATACTGATTTCTGAAGGATCATGTGACACTGAAGACCGGAGTAATGATGCTGAAAATTTAGCTATGATCACAGGAATAAATTTACATTTTAAAGTATTCAAATAGAAAGCAATTTCAAAATTGTACTATATTTGCTGTACTTTAGATCACATAAATGCAGCCTTGGTGAGTTCTTTAAAAAAAAAAAAAAGATTAAATCTTGCTGTTCAAACTTCTGACTGGTAGTGTAGGCTGATTATTCTTATAGATTGAAACAAATGTGCTTCAGCCAGAAAAGGGTTATGAAGAGTGCTCCGAGTCGCTGCAGAAAACACAAATTGAACAAGAAACTGGAAATGTTGCTGGAGACGGTCTTTTTATTAAAAATGCAAACTCCTTCTCTGCCAGCAGGAGGCGCGTTTAGAGATAAAACTAGAGCAGGGCTGTCCAAACTCAGTCCTGGAGGGCCGGTGTCCTGCAGAGTTTAGCTCCAACTTGTCTCAACACACCTGACTGGAAGTTTCTATGCCTAGTAAGAGCTTGATTAGCTGGTTCAGGTGTGTTTAATTAGAGTTGGAGCTAAACTCTGCTGGACACCGGCCCTCCAGGACCGAGTTTGGACAGTCCTGAACTAGCGGTTTCCCCAGTAGGCCTAGTGGCCGTAATCAAATCGGCTCTGCTCATGAACGCTACTTTTATCAGATAAAAGTGAAAATGCCATCGAAACGTTTCTGAAGACCGTCGGTTCCCTTCAGAGATGCATGCATATAAAACACCCGTGCCGTGTTTTGATTTTGAAACGTGCAGTGCTCATGTTTATTCAACGAAGTCAAACGCCACAAATAAATGTTTGGGAAACACTGGTAATGTTAATGTATATTGGGAATGTTTAAATGTATCGCCATTATTGAATTTATATTGTGATTCATTGATACTGAATTTTTGTCCAGCCCTATGTTAGCCTTACCTGTGGACATCTGCTGTTTTCCTATGCAGAAGACCGAGTACCAGGATGCTTCACTGCTGCTTTGAGGTGAGATGCAGCTGGATCACTTTAAAATACACTATGGTTTGTAAAATGCTTCTGTGATGTTTTAGCACTGGGCTCTGACCTCATGTGAAGACACCGTGCAGTTCTGCTCCTGACATGGCAGACTCTGAGAAGTGCTGTTGAAATGAAGTTTTTTAAAAAGGAATAAGATGCGACACGAGTAATAACACTTATTCTTTCCTTACAGAGTGGAATCTGGTGACCGTGGCCTGTGGATGAGCTTCTGCGTTTCTACGAATACTGTTTAATGTGTAAAATCCCCCCCGGTGATGTTTGTGTAAATCTATAGCTCATGTACTTCGTGTAAGTTTGCTTTTTATTTTTATTACTATTAAATGAGACTTTGAAACCATCGTACTTGCTGTTTTCAGATTATGATTTGGAAAATGCTGTTAAACTAGTGTTGGCTGTTGAAATGAAGTTTTTTAAAAAGGAATAAGATGCGACACGAGTAATAACACTTATTCTTTCCTTACAGAGTGGAATCTGGTGACCGTGGCCTGTGGATGAGCTTCTGCGTTTCTACGAATACTGTTTAATGTGTAAAATCCCCCCCCGGTGATGTTTGTGTAAATCTATAGCTCATGTACTTCGTGTAAGTTTGCTTTTTATTTTTATTACTATTAAATGAGACTTTGAAACCATCGTACTTGCTGTTTTCAGATTATGATTTGGAAAATGCTGTTAAACTAGTGTTCCTACGAAAATTGCCAAAGTTGATTATAGCTTGCTACAATGCTTAATCTAATCTGTGTAGCTAGCAAAAAGTGGGTAAAAAGATCTAGAAATATGTATGACTGGGGCAAAGGGGTCTCCCTTTTTATTTATATATAAATAAAATGTGTATATAAAATATATATATATTCATTAACTAAAGAGATCGGTAAACCAGTTAGTAAATTAATTTACTGACTAAATTAATTCTGCGAGCACGTGGCGCTCTGTGGAAGACGGGTGAACGTGTGCAGATCAGAGGTGCGCAGTAAATTCAGATGAAACCAACCCACGAATTAATGATTTCTGTTATCACTCTACGCTTTAACCTAACTTATAATTTAAATCGCTTTTTGATTTAATTTCTGTATTTTAATGCTGCATTAAACGAATTTCAGGGCTCTGTATGGGTCACTACCAAGCGGCAAAGCCAACACGGAAGTGACTTAAACTGTAATTCTTCAACTGGCCGCTAGAGGCTGGCTGCAAAAGGGAATCAATCCCATAGACTCCCCATGTTAAATTGCCCAACTTTACAGCAGAAAAAAAAAAAAAACATGTTTACAGCCTGGTTCAAAAAGATTTTGGTCTATATAGCTAATTTTGCCCTTCATGACAACCGGGAGGGGGGTGAATTTTTTTTTTTTTCGAGTCATCAGTTTAAATATTAAGCCTTAAAGTTCTGCATAATTAAGGGCGTGGCCACTTGAGTGACAGGTGGATTGCCGCTGCTGTCATCACTGTCGAGCTAGGTGGGCGTGGTTTCCTGAGAATAACCATAAGGGAAGTTATTTTTAGGATATTTAAAAATAACCACCCTGCAATGTTCTGGGAACGTTATTTTATGGTAACCTAAAAAGAACGTTCCCCTAACATTAGTATTTGGTTCTCAAAAAAATAACCAAACGGGAACCAAAAACTAACGTTAGGGGAACGTTCAATGTTTGCTGGGTATGACGTTGCTTCTCTAGTTTAGCATTGAAATATAGCCGAAAACACGGCACAGGAGTTGTCTTTGCTTATGTTATGTGTATTTGATTTCATCAGATGAAGGCTCGATTATAAATCAGGATTTTTGTGCAGATTAACATTTTGGAAGGGAGCTGGTTGTGTAGTCTTAAAGGGCCACATTTCAGTAAATATTTCATTTATCTCGTTGACCGACAACAGAAACAAATTATATAAATGAAAACCGTTTTGAGAATTTGGCTAAATTAAAATACAGTATGTGAGCAGAGAGAGGCAAGCAAACGCAAAAAGACCATATGACTCGATGGCGTCATGAATATGCTAATTAGCATACGACATTTAGGACTTTCAGACTGGCTTTAGCTAGGCTACTTTCCATTGAAAGAAGTTGGCAACACTGGTCATGAATTTTTCTGAATTACAGGTAACGTTAGCCTGTGTTAGCTTAACCCTCGACTATCGAGGAGCTGGTGTTGATACCCGTTGCAAATGATTAACAATTTTGTGTAGTCAATATTTTGTGAAGCAATATTGCTTCATTGTATGTATAAAAAATGTTTGCAGGAAAACCACTAGTGAGAACGTAATTGGCTGACTAACTGAAAAATCTCAGTATGCTTAGATGACATTAGGAGAAAAAAAGTTGAGCAGCAGGGGGAGCCCATTCTCCGGGCGGTCGCATAAAATGGGAAAGATTGCAGGAAAAATATGTAAACCTCTTACCGCCGTTCAGAATCTGCATAAGACACTAATTAAAAGACAAAACATAATATAATGCATTGCCTTTTTTTAGCATCTATGAATGTTTGCATCTTTTGTAATAGTTGTGTATGAGTCCCTCAGTCGTCCAATTGTGAAGAGCTGACTCTCAAAATCGTTTTACAATCCTGCTGGAAATGCGCACAAGATGCTGGAAAGCCAGAGAATGTGCAGGACCTGGACGATTTTTAGCTTTATTACTCGGGTCAAAACTGGCACAACTACCACAAAACGTGCAAAAATCATTGAGAAAGCTACACACCATATGAAGCGGCGAATTGTGTAAAATTACCTGTTATTTTCGCTTGTGTATTTTATGCAAACGCTTATTTAAAATGGCCTATTAAGAAATGTAGCCTACTAAATAAACATTTTTGTTATTTCTCTATTTTTCAATAAAGACTTCGTTGGGTGTAAATTTACAAGACCTGTACAAGGTTTAAAACGTCCATATAACATAAATGCGCTAGTAAACAAACCACAAGCCACTCAAAGTAATTCCTGCATCTTTTATTATAATTCTAATAACCTTTAGTCATTTCTTAAAACATTTGTATTTCATATGTGTATATGAATATGTATAATCGCATACACATATATATATATTCTGTAAATAACCTCTTATCTGTTCAAAGTTAATTTTCTTCAATTTAAAAGAAAAAAAGATGCTTTCTGCACACCCTGGACGGCTACTGCATCAGTTGCTCCTGTGTGTGATCCGTGACCTCTTCCTAGGTCACACTGCCCAGACCCTTTAATGGCTATGTGATCTTCAATGTGCATGTATACTCAGCATGATTATGCATTTCTCTGCAGTGTGAAAGCGTGTCTGAATACTGTTCTATTATTAGAAGCTGTAATATTGACAATCTGAGCTGCAGAGCTTGAGGACTTAAAGATTTCCTTTTCCCAACCAGAAATTTTTTTTTTTTGCATTGTCTTTTGCATGGTCCAATCCTTCATTCAGACACTCGGCTGAAACTGTCAGAGGTGAGAACTGTGTGACTTTTACTCCACCTAGTGGACAATATTGGAAGGTGAGAATATTAACCATTCATCAGAGTACAACACCAGCTGCTATTGAAGCGAATTGGGTTGATGAATTTGACTGTGGAAAGATGAGACAACAGGAAACACAGGATGTGTAGAAAGCATGATTTGATTACACGTTAAACTCGTGTTAAACATTTGGAAGACAGAGATTCTTTAAAACTTTTTTCCATCTCAGAATGATAATTTCTTTCATTGTCCTTACTGTTATCAACATCGCTATACTTACCAGTCTTAAACATCAAAAATACAATGAGTTCTTCAATCGTTTTGTCCAATATGGGTGATTTAAGGTAAAGCCAGCGCTGTGATGAATGATGCATGAATCCCACACTCATTCTGAGAAGACGAACAGATGCCAGATGGGCAGAGGGAGATGAAGGGGGCAAAATCTTTACCGATGGTCCTGAAAGAGACATAGACAGGAAGGTAACATAAAGGTGAAGGTGTTGGTGGTTTGGACTCAAGGTGACTGTAGATGAAAGGAAGAGAAAAAGGATGAATAACTCATGAAAGGTGCAATGTGATGAGGAGCCCTTTAAATTGATTGAGCAACAATTTGTGATGTGGGAGATGAGGGCTGGAGGTCACTAGATTTACTTATAAGTTCGAGTGATGGAATATGAATGTAAAAGGTATATCTACTGCCACACACAATAAACTTCTTGATAGTGCTTGCATACAAAGTGATGACACAATAATTTTGTGTTGGAAGGGAAAAGCAGGAGGGTAAGGGACATTGAAAGATATGAAAGTCTTGTCTCTAATTTAAGTCCTAGAGGTACCAAAGATCTGAACATGTTGTATGTGGTCACACAAACAAAAAAAAAAGTCAAGCATAAACACCTGTCCAGCATTTGCGCTCAAAAACAAACAAGAAACACTGCAGCTTATAGCGATAACAGCAAGGACGATGAGAACAGTGACTGCAATTAATAACATCTCTTGTTAAATCAACAACAGAACTCCAGACCCACTTAGAGTTTAAAAATTGTTATAGGAACAATCATCATATTAAAACAGACATTAGCACATATCTCTCACCCCATGTCAGAGTGCATGTTCGTCTTGCCTCGCCTCCATAGAAAGAGTGTTTTTTGGAAGGAGAGAGGGAGAGTGACTTGAAAAGAAATACAGGCAGTTTGGTTTTCCCTCTCCCTCGTCTCCATGTTGTCTCCTCTTTTAAAATGGAGCCTATCGTTGATAGGTTCGTTGAAGTCGTAGTCACCTCTATATTTTGAGAGTCTGTGGTAAAAATGTTGATGAATTTTCAGTATATATATATACTTTTCTTTTTACAATGTTGTATCATCTTCCTTCTTTGAAAGATTTTTTGCGTTATAACTATCTTCATCTTGTATCCATACATAGATATTTTATTGTGTCCCATTATGTGTTATATAAATAAAAGAGATGAGTGTATCGTCATCAACAGGTGTTGTCGTACGTTTGTGTATGTTGCTATCAGTAGGCTGAGGATGTACTGAGTGCATGTGTGTAAGTGGTAGAGCGCTTGTGTGTCTGTTATGTTGGTCTGGGCACTTATTTTTGCTACGGGTTTGTAATACAGTGACCAGTCTGTATATGTATACGTATATATATATATATATATATATATATATATATATTATTTCATTATAAGACATGAGAAGGTAAAGAAGTTCTAGTGAAATACAAGATACGCACAAGCCCCAATCTGGCTTCGGCAAAATAGAATCCCTCCATTGGTGAGGTAAAAACACATAACAAATCACGGTCATGCCTCTAGTGATAACCTTTCACATTATCAAGTACACGCACTCACACAAACAACAGGAACCCAAGCATAAACACAGTCTTACCAAATAAGTGCCTGTTAAATTGACCTCTATTTTAAGGGCTTCCCTAGTCATGCCAGACAGGAGGTTTGTCAGTACTTGCCCTCCCTGCATTGGTCTCCATTGAACCTACTTTATAAATGAGACCATTAGTAAATATTTGCCAGTAATACAGACTCAGCTGAAAATCTGAGAAAAAGAGAAAGATAGCAAAGGAGGTTTCAATATCTCTCTTTCTCCCCATCTCTTCCTATAGAACTACAGAAAAACAGGAAAGCTAAAGAGCATTTTGATTGTTTCCCTCAAATTATTTGGCTCAGTTATGTAGTATGTTACCTTCTCATGTTGAACTTCGGTATCCTCATCGAGTTAGTTTCCCCGATTTGAATCATCTATTTCCACTTTGATCACCTTGTGAGTGCCTGCAAGCTCAAACTAAGTGTGTTCTGTTTAAATGTTGATATGTACGGATGTGTATGTAGGCGTTTATGTTTTTGTTGACTGAAACACACGTAAGCGCAGGCATGTTCACAGCTCGACAGGCCTTCAATGCTCTCCGTTTCTCCTGTATCTCTCCATCTGCGAGTTGGCAGTTTGAATTCGAAGTCACCTCTTCCTGCATTTTTCTTAATTCAGGGAATAATCTCTGATGGCAGCAGTTGTCACCTCATCTTTCCTGTCCTCTCAACTCCGGTTGGCCTCATCTCTCCTTCTGTCTGTCCGTTCATCTCGAGAGGAGAGGGCAGAAATGGGGAAAGTGCTAGAAGACAGCCTGATGATAGGGGGAAGGTGGAAAGTGTAAGGAAATAATTTTTCTCTTGTTCACCCGCATCCCCCTTTCTGTTCTCCTTCTCTTTCCCCATGCCATCCTGGACCTCATGCAGCGGTCCACTCCAAATGTTCCCAGAAGTTAGCAATCAATAGCATATCAATGTTTTTACCTCAACTGTACTACCTTTGTTTGTTCATGCACTGCCCCTTTCTCACCCTAATCCCTCTCCATCGCTGTTCTCCCTTGCATCTCTCTGCTTCCCCTTCTATCCCTCCTCTCACCTGTCCATCACTCTCCTGAGCGCCCTCTCTATGTTCATGCGATGGCCAACCCTGGTCACACCCAGGTCCAGGTAGTCGTCCTTGGTAAGAGAGGGCAGGTGCGTGCCATCAATCTCGTTGTCTAGGAATCGCTCCCTGTGCTCACCCAGGTTCAGGTAGCCCAGCCAATCCGCAACGTCATACTTGGTCCAGTATGGGAGTGGTTTGGAGGCGAAGGGTTTGGTGGGTGAAGGGGGTGGGAGGTGAGGGTAACTCAGGCAAGTGGGTGGAGGAATGGGGTGGAGTGGTGGGGATGAAGTCCCTGACAGGAAGTGGGTGGGTGACAAGGAGCGAGAGACCACCAGAGAGGAATTTGGAGGAGGTGGAGCCCCCGAGGGGGCAAAGAGAGGGGGAGAGGGAGAGAAGTAGGGGTCCCCAAGAGGATTGGCAGGTGAGGGTGGAGTAATAGAACCACGGAGGTCATACAAGCTGCTATAGAGGGGCGTGGTGGGGAGAATGGGAAGGGAAGAGGGGCGGGGAGGGCCAAGCTTGGGGCGGTCAGAGGGTGAAATTAACGGGCTGGGTGCTCGTCTGCGCTGAGCGTAATGCGACTCTGCCTTACGTGACTCTCGGCTGGGTATAAATTGGAACTCCAGGGCTTTGGTGCGGTAAACGGGCCGGTGTTTGGGTGAGGTGGGGTACGGCGAATATGAAGAGGGAGAAACAGGTGAGTGTGATCGGGGAGGAGGCTGGGATGAGGCAGCAGGGGGCTGAGGGGAAGGAGATCGAGCCCAGTTTGGGTAGAGCGGCTGGGAAGAAGGGGTGGGGGAGGGAGACAAGGCAGGCTGAGAGAGCTGAACAGGAGATGGGGAGCTAGAGCGGACAGAGGGAGGACTCAGTGCACCTGTGGAGTCCTCTGAGAACCTGAGAAAATGAAACACAAATTAAGGCAAACGAATAAGAGATACGACAAAAAGAGAGAAAAAGGAAAAAAAGAGTTTGACAGTAAAGAGAAAGAGAGAGCGGAATAGTGCAGCAGTTACCTGTATCTGATGTGGGACAAACAGACGTACATGGACAGTGCGATAAAAAGCAGAAATCACAAAAGAGAGGAACAGTTTAACAGACACAGTTAGACAGAACACACACAGAGCTCATTGGTGTTTGAGTCACTGATAAAAAAACAGGAGTTCCAAAACTATTTTCATGCACTATGTTACTCTGAATATCCCAGGTGTTCTTAAACCGAATGGCTCATATTTTGATTATGACTCATGGCATACCAAATCACACAATGCTCGTGCAGCTTAGAGATTTCCCATGCCACATGCCTCCTTTCAAGGCCACCATGCAGACATTAACACAGTCATGCACATATACCTATACTGATAACACACAAATACCTATGTCTGCTCAGTGATCTCTGAGCTCCCCAGTTCTCCGTTCCTTTGCTCCTCTGCTGTAATTTGGTGCTGAGTTCATTGATGATGCTTGCCTTCATACCGGACATGGGAGGATGCAGTTTACGTGCCTCCACATATGTCCCCCCAGTCTGGACCCCTCCCTCCCCCATGGACTGCGTTGTTCCTGCCGACCCATCACCCCACAGAGGTTTTAACTCTGGAGTGCGGGGCCGGTCAAAGTACATTACAGAGGAGCGAGCGATCCCTGGCCCTTGCCTCATTCCATAGCCATCGCGGACATTCACGTCCTCCTCCTCTCCCTCTTCTGCCTCCTCCTCCTCCTCCTCTTCCTCCTCCCTACGACGGTGGTATGCAGGGGGTGCCGTGCTGGTTTGGCGTCGAAGATCTCCAGCCCGGCTCCCTTCTCTGTACCTCTGTGTTTTTGGGTAGGTGGATGCGGTGCTGGCGGCTTTGGCATTGTGCATTTCAAAAGTCTGTCCATCAAGATAGCTCATGTAAGACTCTAAAAAGTCTGCCCCACTTGTTCTGTCGGACTCTGTTGCCCCACCTCTCTCTCCAACTCCACCTAAGCTACCCATCCCTGCTCTCTCCAACCTTTCTCTGACCCCACTACCACTGAGTGCAAGGATGTTGTCTAAGTGATGGTCGCTGCTGCTTCGGCTGTCCAGCTCCTCAATCCCAGAATCCACCACTGTCTCCTGAGACTCGCCACTCTTAGCTGCAGCTGCACTGGGTGTCGGATGATGCTCTGTGCTGGGCCGTCTGCTACCCCCTGTAGCTACTGTGGAGACAGTTGCAATGCGTGTGTGGGGTGTGACAGCGGCAGCAGCGGTAGTAGCAGAAGAGACGACAGTTGTAGAAGCAGTTGTGGAACAGCTTGCGGTTACAGTTGAGGCGCCTCTGAGAGATACAGAAGTTGCTGGGGTGGATGTTGCTGTTGGAGGGCCCCGGTAGGCAGGTGGAGCTGGAATAGAGAGAGGAGGTGGTGTGGGAGAAGAGGAGCGTCCGGCTGAATTTGTACTGTTGTATAAGTGTTGTGACTGAGATAGGCCAAATGGTCTGTGGTAGGAGGTGGGTGGTGGCGGAGGTGATACAGAAGGAGGTGGCGGTGGCCCAGAGGGCTGCAAGGTGGAGGGGGAGGGAGGCGGTAGTGGGTTGGGGGAAGATGGAGAGGGAGATGGGGCTGACTGGGTGAGGTTGGCGACCTCACTGTCATAGGAAGTAAGGCTGGAAGTTGTGGAATCTCCTGCCTGGGGTGAGGGCAGGGGTGTGTGAGGTGGGAACCCAGACATAAAGGAATCTTTTGGAGGGGGAGGAGGTGGCGGGGGAGGTGGAGGATGATGCTGCTGGCGAGCTGTCACATTGTGGGACATCATCGCAGAGTAACCCAAACCACGATCAAAACTATTGGCAAACTCCAGAGGTGGAGGGAGAGGATCAACAAACACAAACTCATCATCTACATCTACTGAGGGAGCTGGGGGAGGAAGAACCATCAGACCTGTGCCACTTGCACCTTCACCTGCAGCTCCTGCTGAAGGACGTGTAGGGGCTTTTGTTGGCGGTGGAGAAGGTGGTGTCAAAGAAAGGATGTATGCCCCAGCCTCACTCTCCATCCTCAAGAATGAGGGGCGTCGAGGCTGCTGGGGCGTTGGCTGTGTGGACTGCTGCTGTAACTGGGCGTGAGCTTTTTCTATCTCTCTTTCCCTCTCTCTTTCTCGTGACCTCTCTCTCTGCCGCTCTCGTTCGCGCTCCTTGTAGGTGGGCTGATAGTGCTGAGACTGATAGTGGTGCGTGTGGACAGTTTTATCCTCAGAGAAACGAACCCTTAGGCCTTCTCTGGGAGCAGAGGTGCCAGCAGCCTCCCTATCTGCACGCTCTCCAACCCCTGCTTCCTCACCCCAGCTGCTTCCTGCTCCACGCAGGATCCTGGGAGATGGAGGCCGAGTGGATGTAGTGGTGGCAGCGAGTGATGAGGAGGTAACAAGGTACGAGGAGGAGCTTGAGGACTGAGCAGCAGAGGAGGGTGCAGAGGAAGACGAGGCCATTGAGTAGGAGATGTGTGACGTTGGTTGTGCAGTGGACGAGGGAAAGGCCCCAATGCTGGACAACTGACGGGTAAAATGATGTTCAGTGGTCCTCTCCCTGCGCATGCGACCATCATCTTTCAAGGCACGTTCCCTTGCAGCCAACGCCAAGCCTAGTGGGGATGAAGGGTCCAGAACTTTCCCCGTTAATGGGTGAATGAAAGTTGTGGTGGAGGCTTGCTGCTGCTGCTGCTGCTGTTGTCGCCCTCCCGCCCCATAGAAGTCAGCAGGTACAGACTTAGGCTGGTAATCCCCAGGAGGAGCAGGTGAGGAGTACTCAGGCAGGCCGAAGGCAGGAGGCATACTGCGTGTATGGTGGATAAAAGTATCACCTGAGAACATGCCTTCATCTATAGATTTGGACGGTCGCAGACGTGGTGAAGGCTGGGAACTCAGCTGCTGTTGGGAAGTCTGGGTCCGTCCTCCCACTTCTCCTGCTCCACCCAACTCTTCCTCAGCAGAAAGAAAAAAGGAGGCACTCTTCCGTCGTGCTTCATGGAATCGTTCTCGATCCCTGCGAGCTGCCCCTACTATGGCAGCACCAAACTGGCTGGTGAAGTCCAAACTCTCTTGAGTACGAAATGATGGCAGTGATGGGGGTGGGGGAGCAGGTATAGATGGAGGGGCTGGCGGTGGAACGTTGGGTGCAGGTGGGGGAACAACAGGTTGGGGTTTAGAACGGTCAATCTCTCCTGGAGGAGGCGGTTCAGCCTCCATGCTGCTGCCTTGGCTACTGCGTCCACTGCTGCTGGTGGAAGGAGCTTTAACAATGATGGTTGGGATAGGAATAGAGCTCTTCTCCACTGACCCCTTCCCTTCCAGTGTGCCCTGGCCCTGACGCAGATCCTCCACCTTTGACTGCTTCACCAAGGGCCCCTTCCCTCTCCGGGCACCACCTTTCTGTACGCCACCTGCCCCTGCTCCTGCCCCTATCGCACTGCGGTCCATCCTGGAAGGTTGGCTCTGAGTAGTCTGCTGCTGTTGTGGAATTACAGTAGCGACACTAGTGGGTGGGACTGCATTGCTGTAGCCCCTTCTCAATGCTGCTGCCTTGGCTCCTGGTGCTCCTCCAGCCCCTGCAAGGTCCCCTGTGTACCCAATCACCTTTCTGGAGGCAGTCCTGCTTGGCACAGAGGGGTGGGCTTGAGCATGGGAGTAAGAGAGGTCCCCGGTTCCAGACCCAGCAGGTGGTCCAGGGGACCTGTCTCTGGGTCCATGTGTGACATGTACTGACTGTGAGTAGAGCTGATACTGTGCAGAAGAGGAAGTGGATTGGGACACAGAAACAGATGGCTGCTGGGATGTCTTGCCCCTAAAGCCAAGAGGGGGAGCTGAGGAGAAAGGGGGCTCAGGGGGAGCTGTAGTAGGGGGAGGAGGGATGTCATCTGGGCCAGGTACTGAAAGACTGCGGGCAAACTTCATGGCTGGAGGATGAAGCAACTGCTTTTCCTCCTCTGGAACCCCTGCAGAAAAAGAAAGCCAAAAAGAGAAAGATGAAATACATTTTCAAGGAAATAAATAAAGGGAGAATGAATAGAAAGGAGTGTTACAAAACAACAAAGACAAAAGAAAAATTAGTTTGAGAGAGAGAGAATGTACAACAGCTGGAAATGAGAAAATAGTAAGAAAGGAAAATATATCTTTATTTCCTAAAAATGAGCAGAGGGCAATTAAATGGGATACAGAAATGAGACCATCTTGTAGTATGTCTGTCTGTCTGTCAGCTTGTCTGTTATTACTATAACTGGGCAATCTCCCAGCAGTAACATGTACAAGCCATTCACCTCTCTACTTCTGCAATGCTCTTTTGTGTCTGTGCAGACCAGTTTTAGTTACAGTGTGTATATAGATGCAATACACACATAAAGTCTACCTAAGGACACAATAAATTACACATACACAATAGCTTTATCTAATGGCATGCAAATTAAACAAATGCTCTTGTTTTTTTAATGTAAATAAAGTTAGCAACTGTGCAACCCAAGAAAGTGAACATGTTCATATTGAACATTTAATCACATATTGATATTGACAGCATTACATATTTAAGGCATGGGACAGAAAGTATTTCTTATCATACAGATAGCGTGCTAATAATCTTGGGGGTTATAAATGGGCTGTAAATTTCATAGTTCAACCAAGAATGAACACTGATGCTGAGCACCAGATTAAATAAATCTCATTCACCTTTGTTATGGCAATTGGCCTCTCCAGTAATCCAGTCAAACCCCTGACAAGATTCTTATGGACTGTTTCCAAAAACGGACATATATGGTCTCTATTCTAGAGCAATAAAGAATTACAGATGATAAGCATTAAAGCAAACCCACAGCTGCACTCTTTTGAGTGCTCTAAACGCACGTACCATAGACGTACAGCAGAATGGTTAGACAGACTGGTTAGACAGACAGGTGGGCAGACAGACAGATGGACTAACAGACAGCCTCACCGATAGACTTCTGTCGCAGCATACCGTGCGGGGGGCCGTGGCCAGACACAAATTGACCACGGTCATAGCCTAGCCCTGCCCCAGATGATGTTATCCCCATTCCCGATTGGTCGAAACTTGGCTGCCAAAATACATGGAGAGAAATAACCAATTTTATGAACCATTATGAACCAATTTTTAAAAGAATGCAATTTTGCTAAACATTTTCCGCAAAAAATATAGCTCAGCTCATATCTTGAGCATCATCTGAAAAATGTCATCTTATAATCATAATGATCTTAGCCATCTTTAAAAACTGCTTCAATCGTCTCACACATAAACACACCTCATTATATAAGCCTCTGCCCCGTTCTCTTTTTATCCCCTGAACCCGGGGCCCTGGGGCCTCATTGGTACTGATGGTCTGCTGTGCTGCTGCTAAAATCTCATCCAGTTTATCTGCCATAAAATAAAAGAGAGAGAATTAATTAATTAATTAATTTACAAACTATTTCTATTTTTAGCTTGAACTGATTTAAAGGAGATGTTTACCCAACAAATGATAATTCCATCATCAGTCTCACCCATGTTTTTTTTTTTAAACCTTTTTTTTCTTCTATGAAACACAAAGGAATTTATTTATAGCAGAATAGCAAAGCTGCTCTTTTTCCATACAATTAAAGTAAACTGTGGTCATGCCTGTCAAGCAAGATTTTCAATGAATAATAAAACAAAATTTCAGCCTATACTACACCTCACACAAAACTATCATATGGCTTTAAATCGCTTGGATGGAATATGGTTGAAAAGATTTGGACCATGACGATTTTTTATGATTTTTTTTGTCTCCATCTATTTTGCATTCTGCTAAATATCTCATATCAAATATCTTTGGTGCTCAGTAATACAGTTTTTAATTGCGTAACTGAATAATTGATGACAGAATATACATTTTTGGGTGAACTATCCCTTGATTTTTTAACTCTAAGTATGACTAGATGCATGACAGTCCCTCTGTATAAAACCAATGAATCTCTTACTCAAAGCCATCTGATAAACTGTCCTCTTCTTCTCTGTAGCTTGTGAAGACTCGAACTCTGTAACAGATAGACAGGTTTCATCCCATAAGAAATATTTGCAGACCCATTAGGTCAAGTGTCTCATACAAGTCAGACAGAGCGGACAAAGAGCTTTACCTGATTTTTTTTTCCATGGGGCAGAGGCTGTGATCAAGCAAACAGAGAGTCAATGTAAGGTGGAACACCATCAGCCTGTAGTAATACTGTATGAGCTCTTAATGCTGTAATCACATTCCCATCAACTAACAAGTAACAAGAGGTTAAACACTTTTTTATTTAGGTCAGGCACAAACAAATAAATAGAAAAAGCACTCTTTTCCAGGATGCACACAAAATGCACTCCCAATCCACACGCAACTTTAGCAAAGCGCTTAAAGTGAAACTGAAGTGTCTCTTACCTCTGTCCACTGTGTATGGAATGCCAGGACAGACAGAAAGATTAGGGAGGTTATAAGACAGGTTAGTTAGGGTTTCAATCAATCAACTAAAAAACAACCCGTGCGACAAAAGTGTGCAGGAAAGGTTCATAAAAGCCACAAGTGAGTGTGTAGGGATTGTGTATGTGTGTAGGTGTTTCTGTATGCATATAAAGCTGAAGGATTCCAGGGGAATTAGAGGAGGGGTTGATCAGCTTGCCTGTTAAAAAAACTAATCATTAGCCCTTTTGTCTTCCTAGAGTTGTTTCTGTCTTAATTTTTACATTTAGGTGCTGCTGCCTGTATTATAAGGTACCAGTGCAACAAGACATTCATGCTAGAGCAATCTCGGCTATCTTTAGAGCATGGCAGCCAGTGAGGTGGGACACTGCACCAGGTGGAGAGGTGAATACGTCTGAAAAGGTGAGAGTTCTTCACTCACATTAAATTGCTGCATTTGAATAGACATAGAGTATGAAATAACATAATCCCTGCACACATTAAACACCTGAGACACCTTCAGTAAACTGAGAAGATACAACAGTAACACATAAAAAGCACTCTGATCCAGTTATCATAATGGAGTATTAACTTAAACAGCATTAAATGTAACAGCAGACATGCATTACTCTTGTGCCCTACATTAGTCTCTGGACTTTTGGCATTAAGTCTGTTCTACACAGTAGCTTATTCTGGATAAAGAAACACCCACTTAGACAGGAAGGGGCCACTTTTTACTACATGTAAAAAAATTTAAAAAAAAAAGCCATACTTTGCCTTTTATATGTTTAGGGATGGCTAAATCTGATGATCCGTTCACACAACAATAATAAACTGGTATGAAACAAAGTGGTAGTTCATTCAAATAATTGCATGATAATTCCTGTAAATGGTTCTAAAGTCATCCACAATGAAACGGTGGAAAATATTGTCTGAAAACAAAAGCTGAATACTAGTGATGCATAGATGAAGAAATTTTGGTCGATGACTATTACTGATAATTATATATCAATAATTATATATATATAATTATCTATAATACTATATCTAGAATATATATAATTGGCCAATATAACATGAATATATACAGCTGCAGAAAGTTTCCTACAACTTTCTACAAATTTCTTATTGAATAACCATTTCAGAAATGTAGGACTATTAACTATTGATAAAGAAATTAAACATGCCTACGGTCAACTTTCTTTAATAAAAGCTAAATGGAAAATATAACTCATGTACAGAATAAAAAAAGATAGGTAATAAGTAATAATGTGTTTGTGATCATTATCAATTAATGACATTACCTTTCAAAACAGTTGGGGTCAGTAAGATTTTTGAAATGTTTTTGAAAGAATTCACTTATGCTACCAATGCAGCATTTATTCGATCAGATATACAGTAAAAACAGCAATATTGTGAAATAATTTGTAGTTTAAATAACTTTTTTATATTTATAATATATAAATGTAATTTAGCAATGCTGCATTTTTGCAGCAATTACTCCAACCTCACATGATCATTAAGAAATCATTCTAATAAGCTGCTTTGTTGCTCAGTAAACATTTCTTATTATTACTAATGCTGAAAACAGTGGTGCTGCTTCATATTTTTGTGGAAAATGGGACACATTTTTTTCAGGATTCTTTAATAAATTTAAAACTCAAAAGAACAGCATTTATTTGAAATATGATGTCTTTCTAAAAATGTAAAGATCATTACACTCCCTTCTGATGAATTTTGATCACATTTGGACCCCTTTGATATTACTGACCCCAAACTTCTGAACAGTAGTGTATATATACAGTGGTGTGAAAAAGTGTTGGCCCCCTTCCTGATTTCTTATTTTTTTGCATGTTTGTCCCACTTTAATGTTTCAGATCATCAAACAAATTTAAATATCACACAAAGATGACCCCTTTGATATTACTGACCCCAAACTTCTGAACAGTAGTGTATATATATTTGCCTATTTTACTTATCATAAAGATATCAATATGACAGCTGATGATATATTGTCCATCTGTACTGAACATACAGTTGTGCACAATGATGTCATTACATGATAATAAGCGCATAGAATAAACTTTTAAAAGTTCAATACCATGAACTTAGCAAACTTGTCACGTCTAGCTCTTGCTTAGAAGTGTTCATTGTAAACATGACTGTTTATGATTAAAACCTGTTCACCCTGATTTCCAGAACCTGCCAATCTGATTGAGTGCTGTAATCAGTATTCACTATTACTGAATTGCATTACCCTCACACTAACCCTGACAACTGAATTATGGGAACTGGGCTGAGGAGAGCGTTGAGCATTTACAGTAGACACAGTGCCACTAGGGACTGTGAGCTCTGAGAATATTGCTTGGGCTGAAGAGAAGAGAGAAGGGAGAAGGGAAAACATGCCTTAATGGACTACAGAGGTGATTTTAGTTTTAAAGGTTGGATAGGGGAAGGTATATACATCGATTTGGATACAGATAACAGTAAGCAGTGTTTGTCTTGGTGGTGGGCCGTTGAAATGATCTAGTCTGATTCTCTTGATGTGAGACAAGCCTGACTGGTAAACTAAATGATTGTCAGTGATGGGGACACCTTGAGCCAGCACATACTGTGCCTCTCTAACAATGCTACAATACTACAGCAACACACGCAGCACTCAGAAACCTGTTTCTCTGAGAGCCAGAGGTGTGTGACTACAAGGGAGGTGGTTTAGATTGAGGTTTAGGCTTAAAGCTAACAGGGGTTGCAGGTGTAGGATTGAGGGATAAGGTGGAAGGCGAGGGATATAAGGGTTGGGAGGGGACAGTTTTTTTGGGGGGGTTACCTGTAGTGGGGGTGCTGGTAGTGACAGTGTGGAACTTCTGAAAGAACAGTGAAAGAACATTCTTAATGCTCTCTCTCTCTTCCTCTCTATCTCTATGCCATCCAGTTCAAACACTTCCCTCCATCCTTTCTACTTCTTTCAGTGTATGCCTGTGATAGTTTCTTCTCCCATTCACTTTCTCTTCTTCCATCCCTCCCCCTTCTGACAGTTCAAACTATTCTATTTGGCTCTTTCATCCTCTCTTGAATTTCTCTCCTCACTGTCCTCTCTCTCTAAACCTTCTGGTTCTGTCCTCTAGTGCAGTGATTCCCAGCCGAGGGTATGCAAACCCCAGGGGTTACATAAGCAGGAAGTACTTAAAAGATTTTGTTTTTTGCTAAACCCATATGATAGAAATTACTCCTTAAAATATTAGGGCTGCTAATAGATTAAAATAATTGTTTACAATTATTCATCATGATTTGGTTTGTACTTTTTGTATGTTATAATGTTAAATACACTACTGTTCAATTTTTTTAATAGTTTTTTTTAATACTTTCATTCAGAAAGGATGCATTACATTGATCAAAAATGACAGTAAGACAAATACTTTTACAAAAGATTTCCATTTCAAATAAATGCCGTTCTTTTGTACTTCCTATTCATTAAATAGCCCTGAAAAAAATGACACATATTTCCCTCACACAAATATTAAGCAGCACAACACTATGCTTGATTCCTTAACTTTATTTATAACAAGATGTATGACAGCAAAATATTTTCAACACTGATAATAATAAGAAATGTTTCTTGAGCAGCAAATCAGTATATGTGACCCTGGAGCACAAAACCAGTCTTAAGTCGCTGGGGTATATTTGTAGCAATAGCCTATACAGTGTATAGGTCAAAATTATTGATTTTTCTTTTATGCCAAAAATCATTAGGATATTAAGTAAGAATCATGTTCCATGAAGATATTTTGTAAATGTCCTACTGTAAATATATTACATATTAGAATGATGTGACACTGAAGACTGGAGTAATGACTGCTGAAATTCACCTTCGCTTAATTAGTTATTGAAAACAGAAACAGCTATTTTAAAATGTTATAATGCTTTACAATATTCATATTTTTACTGTATTTTGATCAAATAAATGCAGCCTTGACAAGCATATGACATTTCTTTAAAACATATTCCTGATGAGCCCAAGCTTTTGAACAGTAGAGTATGTACTACATAGACAGAGGCAGATTTCTATGTCACTTGATAGAATGATCACTGTAAATCATATCCAGCATAATATGAATTCAAATTAAACATTTCTGGTTTGTGCTGATTAAGGGGTAATTGAGCCGTAGTGAGGGGACTGTACGGGTCAAAAAAGGTTGGGAAACACTGCACTTTTCCCCCCAAGCTTCTGTCCTCTCATTTTCCACATCTTACCCATCTCTTCCAGTTCTGATGTCATGGATTTGGAGCGCAGAGCGATAGCCGGTGTGCTCAGTCTTTTACTCTGCTGTGGGACTGTATGGAGAGAGAGAGAGGGAGAGAGAGAGAGAGAGCGAGAGAAAGAGTGTCACCGGTGTCCGATGATGATCATCATGTAACACTTCACTGGTGTGTCTCTGCTGTGTGAATTTGTATCTCTTACTTTTCTTTCGGACCCCTTCCTCCATATCAGGGTTCCGGGTAACCATGACAACCTTGACCATGAGGCTGTTGCCGCCTTGCCTGATCATATTGACCACCTGCCTGTGTCCCACCTTAACCACATTCTGACCATTCACCTGGAAAAGAGAAAGAAACAATATACAGAAAGATACAGAGAGACCTTGAGTAATGAGGACACTTCTAGTGAGACTTGAAGGAATGACAAAGAGGGAAGAACAGAATATAAGTTCCATGATGCAGTTCTGCAGACACCTCGATAAGGAAGTCTCCCATTCGCAGACCAGCTCTCCAAGCCACGCCTCCCTCGTCGACAGACTCAAGGTACTGCAGTGCTGGAAAGGCTGGGGTGGGAGTGAACTCTTCTATAGGGGTCTGAGCTACAAAGAGAGGACATTTATATAATCAGTGTAGTGTGCCTGTCCAGAATGTTCTATTGAGGTTGACAATACATGGACAATAATGAGAAAACACAAGAAAAAAAAAAGAAAAGATGAACAGTGATAAAAGATCGTGTCAAATGTTCTCATTCCGGTTCTGGAACGCATCAGTATAAATGTGTGCGTAAGAGATAAAGAGCAAGAGTGAATGTGCCCTCTTATGCAGTGTGTGAATTATTCAATGACTTTCAGGGGGGTCGATTTATTAAAAGATTTTTTGCCAGTAGTTTTTGGAGCACAGTCTTTTATGGGTAATGTCACACAACTGTTTTTTGTCACCCCAAGCCATCGACTTTAATAACAAAAACAGAGATATTTAGGGTGCAAACACGGCACTTTAAATTCTGGGACTTTCTAAACATATGCATTCATTATCAGGAGCACAACACAAACTGCTTGCATACAGTTTAATTACAGCCAAGAAGCCAAGAAGTTACTACTGTTGTTCTGGAAAAAAAAAAGAAGTGTCTCATGTAAGCTATGGCTTGGAGAGATGATTTCTACTTTACATTTGGAACAAATTAGGTTCTACCTGAAGGGAAAATTTGAGCAGTTTAACAAAATCTAGTTATTCTCTACGGAGTAATGCATCATTTGTTAATATTAATAAAATATTTTAATATTTTTTCATCATACTTTACAATTTAATGCAAACAGGTCTGGTAAGGGATGGCTTGTTTTGTTTTTTTCTTCTCTTTTCTAATTTTGATTGTGACGAAATATGTAAGATTGCAAATTCATCTTCAAAATCTTTGTCTTTCAATAAAACTTACTTGACAAAAAAAAGATTACAAAATTTGATGCGATATATGATCCTGTTAATGAGTGTCTATTTACTGCATAATGACAAATCTGTGATCTAACTTTGTGGCTAATGAAATGCTGAAACATAAATTATTATATAAAAAAAATATTATGCACCCTGCACTTACCCTTGGCTCCTCTCAGCACAAAGCCAAAACCTTCATTGTCTTTTTTCTGCAGGAGGACTGTCTTCTCCTTGATTATATAGTCACTGAAAGAAAGAAAGAAAGATTTTGCGGTAGAAGAGGCAGATAAAAGAGGACAGAAGACATGGTAAATATCTCCACTGCATCAGGAAAACACTTAAACCCAGAACAAGCTATTGAGTGGAGGGGGGAGGGTCAGAGGCCAGAGAAAAGTGGAGTTCAGTGTATGAACCATAGACTGTATAAAAACAGGTATGAAAGCATACATTACAGGACAGCCTGTACTGACTCTTTAAAGGTGAAGTGTGCCATTTGTTTTCATTGCTAAAATTCTTCTATGCCAGTTTAATGTGCTTTTCATTAGTGGGGAGGCACAGATGTCACATATGAATGAAAAAAATATACTTACTATTTTTTCGTCTGCAATGTTGCTTCTAAAAGCTGTTTTTTTTAATGGTTATTTCAACTACACGCTGAAATTACCTAACTAAAAAATACCTAAAAACCAAGCTCGGCTCAAAATTTTTACAATATTTCCAAATATGAGATGAAAACATACAGCTTTGTTTTAAAATTAAAGCAGTGCCATATAATAACTTTTCCTTTAATTTTCTAAAATATTAAAATATTAAAATATATGTCCTCTCAGTAAGATTTTTAAGAGTGTTTTACAAAAGGTTTCTATTTCAAATAAATGCTGTTCTTTTGAATTTTCTATTTCACAACAATGTATCACTGTTTCCACAAAACATTAACATAACTGTTTATAACATGGCACAACTGCATGTTTTCAACATTGATAAACAAAGGTTTGAGCACCAAAATCAGCATATTAGAATTATTTCTGAAGACTGAAGTAATGACTTCTGAAAATTCAGCTTTGCTATCATAATTCTATCAAATTATATTTTAAAATCTATTAAAATAGAAAACACTATTTAAATTGAATATTAAATATAACATAATCATATTTCACAATATTACAGTTTTTACTGTATTTTTCATCCAATAAATGCAGCCATGGTGAGCATAAGAGACTTCTTTCAAAAAAATTTAAATATCTAACTGACCCAAACTGAATGGTAAGGTAAGTTTAATACATATATCATACAAGTAAGCCATTGGTTGTAGCTGAAAGTTGAAAGCTGTCCCACTTGTGGTTTCCACTCACAGCAGAGCCCATCTGACTGACACCACAGCTTTGTTTACAATACTCTGGCATCCATGCTCTTGCGTCAACAAGTGCACTGCAGTTCAGAACACAATATCCCCATTCTTCAGCTCAGTGTTCAGGAGACTTAACCAACTGTATTGTTTCACTGCCCCAGGACCAGAGGAGAGGGACTAGGGGGATGGACTGAGTCGATGCAAAACACAACGGCAGGTCAGACCACACACGGCCATTCTCCTGCTGTAAACAGTGTTACAAGCACAATTTGGCGGGAAACCAGTTACAGAGGCTTGATTTGAAGGCTGTCTGAAGTTCATCCATCGAACAAACCTTCACGACATTGTACCAATTTTGAATGGAGCTCAAATGTCAAACAGCAGAAGACGGGGCAGGACAAGTTCATCCACTGCAATATCACGATCATGTTGTCCTGTAGTTAGGAAAGAGACAGCAGATCTTCTATGTAATGTTTGTATGTGCAATGGGCACTGTAAGTGAGATGTTGGCGGTTGACTGAGCAACGGCCAGAACTGGATATAGGAACTAGCCAGACTAATATGTAGACATGCACAGTGAGTGATACAGTACACACAGTTGGCAGTCATATTGAACAGAATTAGTCATTCAGCATTCCAATGTTCACCTCGAAGGGATCTCAACAAAACACCCAAGCATAATGTTTTCCAAATCAAACCAGTGTAAGCTGGGCCAAGTACATAACTGGCCACAGCAAGAATATAAAAAAATGGCAAAAGCCTGGTTGTTATGTCTGAGATCATGTCTATATTTAGGCAAAGGACTGTTTGCTCGGAATAGTAAAAGGTGAGGCAATGTAATCTCAATGCCTCATTCAATGATTTGCAGAGGTAGTGAATATTTGACACAGAATCCACAGAATTGTGAGATCTATATTTTATAAATATATACAGAGTTCTGGCATTAAACTCTAGATGGCGCAATCCGATAGGTCTAACTCAATATGACCTAATGACATCATTCTCATATGGCACAGCTGATTGGTTCTCTCCTGTATCGGTAGCCAATGAGCTGCTGCTCAACATTCAAATATGAAAATGAAAAGCCTGAACAGTGGTGAAGGATTTCAGGTATGGCAATTTTAAAATACTAATACTGCAAGTTCTACATTCACAATGCAAGAAATTCCTGCATACATTTATTTACTACAGAAGAAAGCAAATTAATCCACAGAAATGAACAAAACTAAACGAATTATGCACTGAAAAAAATGTTTCCCTAAGGGCAAGTTATTTATTTTTCATTGGCTCAAGTTAAAAAATATAGATGTGCATCATTACCCTAAATTGTTTTAATTGGATGAATGAAACATTTTTTTCAGTGTGTTAATTAAATGAATTATTTTAAATCATTTTGAGTTTAGTGAGCCTGCAAATGTTGATATTACTTACACAGTAAAGGAAGTGCCTTTTTCAACACATAAATGTTTTACCAAATAAAAAGGACAACACTTTTAGAGTTCATCCCACTATCTGATGTGGGAACAAGTATTGGAACACTTGAACTTAAAGGTGGGGTATGGATTTTTTGAAAAACGCTTTAGAAAACTGAGTCTGGCCGAGTTCCAAAACAAACTTGTAGCCAATCAGCAGTAAGGGGTGTGTCTACTCATGATGTGGAGGAGAGAGCGCTCAGTGCACAGGACGGACATTAGCCGAGCGGAGAGATGAAAGAAAGATAGAGATGGTGGATAAAAAACCAAAGAGGAAACCGTCTGCAGAACAAAAGAAGGCTTATGATAAGGCAAGAAGTAGGACCCGTGTAAATTTCAGATCAGCTTTCCAGTGCTGGAGAGAACTCAAGGAGCAGGAAGGCCTGTGATCGGATGCAGAGGTTGCTTTGATTCTTCTCGATAGGGGGGAAACATGGGTTTTGTTTTGTTTCAAGGTAGGGGCGAGACCCTTTTGGGGTAGGGGCATGTTTGTTTTGGTGATTTTAAATATCAACATTGACTACCAGAAATCCCTTACCCTACCTTTAAGGCAGATGTAAAAGATTAAAAGCTATTATTTTGTTGCAGATCCCTTGCGTGCAATCAGAGCAGTGAGTTTGCTACCCATAGACATGGCCAGACTCTTGGTCTTATACTTTGAAATATTTTTCCTAGCCTTTAATGCAGCCAATTCCAACTGTTGCTTGTTTTGGGGAGTTTCTGCCTTTAGTCTCCACTTCAGCTGGTGAAATTCATGTTCAATCAGATTTAAATCTGGGTATTGACTTGGGCAATCGAAGACTTTGCATTTTTTTGCCCTGATAAAGTCCTTGACTGAACTGGCAGGGTGTTTTGGGTCATTGTCCCGATGCAATATGTAGCGCTTTCTGATGAGTCTGGTGGCATTTTATTGAATATTGGTAGCCAAGATGGTTTTGTACCCTTCCAAATTCATCCTGCTACTGTCATCATACATTAAGTCATCATTAAAATTGAGAGGCCTGTTCCACAGACAGCCATGTATGCCAATGCCATGACACCACCTCCACCATGGTTTACAGATGAGGCTGTATGCTTAGGATCATTTGCAGTTCCCTTTTGTCTCCACACTTTTGCTTTCCCCATCACTTAGATAAAGGTTAATCTTTGTCTCATCTGTCCATAAAACTCTGTTCCAAAACTCTACTGGCTTTTGCAAACTCTAATCTTGCCTTTCTATTTTTGGTGCTTGCCAGAGGTTTGCAACTTGCTGTGTAGCATCTGTAGTTCTGTGTCAAAGTCTCCTGCGGACAGTAGATTGTCTGAGCATCACCCCAGCTTTCTGGAGGTTGTTGGTGATTTTACAGACCCATATTTTAGGGTTAATTTTCACAGCTTTTATGATTTGCCTGTCATCAACTGCTGTTGTTTTTCTCAGCTGATCAGGTTGTTGTTAGTTGCTGATGTCTCTGGTGGTTTCCAAACTCTTGATTTCTTCATGCCCTTTGTTTTTGCCATAGCTCTAATTGACTTCCTATTTTCTTTTAGCAGCCAAATTGCTTGCTTATCTCTCAAAGTCAGCCCCCTCGTCTTCATCCTGTTTTGTGTATGTCGTCATCGAATGCAAGACTCAGAATGCAAAAGCAATGGATGTGACTGATACGACACATTCCCTGCTTTTAATATCTGAAGAATTAATGCAACAGGACACAGCCGATCACTCAGAAAGACCTGTGAGGTAACTGTTCCAATACTTATGCTCACATCGGATAGTGGGATGAACTCTAATGGCGCTTTTCCACTGCGTGGTATGATTAGGCTCGGCACAGCTCGGCTCGGTTTGCATTTCCACTGCAGTTTAGTACCGCTTTAGAGTGAGTGGAATTATTCACATGCCGTTATAGTTGCGCCGCCTCTATTGCCATGACTCCTGAAAAACTTTTTCATTCCGCGTCCCCCCATCAAGCTCTCGCTGGATCCGCTCCTCTGCTATCAACGAGAGGAACATCTGTACTTCTTCAACAGACAACGAAACAGCCATTTTTTGGCTGTTAAAAAAAGTGCACTTGCTCAAAACAGTTGCGTCCGATCTTTCGCTGGCTGTGCTGATTTAAATCTAGCGGTTCTGTTGTGTCTCTGTGTCGCAAGTTCAATGACACAGGTAGTGACGATTCTCTCCGGCCAATCAGTGATCAGCAGAGTTTACACGTCACGTTTTAGTAACAGTACGGTTAACTTGGAACTTAAACCGAGGTGGTACTGAAAAAAGTACCAGGTACTGTACCCAGTGGAAAAACCCCCAAAAGTGAACTGTACCGTGCCGTACCATGCAGTGGAAAAGTGCCATAAAAGTGCTGATAAAAGCTGGTAAACTTCTTAGCTGGTAAAACATTTATGTGTTGAAACACTCAATAAAATGTGACATTCTGTAGTTTTGTCTCATATTC